GCCGAGCCCTGCCGCAGCGGCCCCTGCGCCCACGGCGCCTGCCGCGACCTGCCCGACGGGTGAGTCACGGGGTCCCTTGGGTGCCTTGGTCCCTTGGGCGGTGGCGTTGGGTGCCCATCACCCTTGGGGCCCTTCGCCCTTGCTCCCTTGGGTGCTGAGGTGGTGGTGCCCACCACCCTTTGGGTGCCCATCACCCTTGGGGTCCATCACCCTTGCTCCCTTGGGTGCTGAGGTGGTGGTGCCCACTACCCTTTGGGTGCCCATTGCCCTTGAGTGCCTGTCACCCTTTGGGTACCCACCACCCTTGGGTGCCCATTGCCCTTGGGTGCCCATCATCCCTGGGTGCCCGTCACTCTTGGGCTCCCGTCACCCTTTGGGCACCCACCACCCTTGGGTGCCTGCCACACTTGGGTGCCCATCATCCTTGGTCTCTTGGGTGGTGCTGCCTACCACCCGTTGGGTGCCCATCACCCTTGGGGCCCATCGCCCTTGGTCCCTTGGGGGGACCACCGCTGGGGTGGTGCTGCCCACCACCCTTTGGGTGCCCGACACCCTTGGTCCCTTGGGTGGTGCTGCCCACCAGCCTTTGGGTGCCCATCAGTCTTCGGGCAAATTGCCCTTGCTCCCTTGGGTGCTGAGGTGGTGGTGCCCACTACCCTTTGGGTGCCCATTGCCCTTGAGTGCCTGTCACCCTTTGGGTACCCACCATCCTTGGGTGCCCACCACCCTTTGGGCACCCTTCTTTCTTGGATTCCCATCACCTCTGGGTGCCCACCACCTTTTGGGCACCCACCACCCTTGGGTGCCTGTCGCCTTTTAGGTGCCTGTCACCCTTTGGGCCCCCATCATCCTTGGCTGCCTGTTGCCCCTGGGTGCCCATCATCCTTTGGGCACCTACCACCCTTGGGTTCCCGTCACCCCTGGGTGCCCCTCACCCTTTGGGCACCCATCACCCTTGGGTGCCTGTCGCCCCTGGGTGCCTGTCACCCTTTGGGCACCCATCATCCTTGGGTGCCCGTCTTCCTTTGGGCACCCACCACCCTTGGGTGCCTGTCGCCCTTTGGGGTGCCCGTCACCCCTGGGTGCCCATCGCCCTTTGGGCACCCACCACCCCTGGGTACCCATCACCCTTGGGTGCCCACCGCACTTTGGATGCCCACCCCCCTTTGGGCACCCGTCATCCTTGGGCACCCACCACTCCTTGGGCACCCACCACTCCTTGGGCACCCACCACTCCTTGGGCACCCACCACTCCTTGGGCACCCACCACTCCTTGGGCACCCACCACTCCTTGGGCACCCACCACTCCTTGGGCACCCACCACTCCTTGGGCACCCACCACTCCTTGGGCACCCACCACTCCTTGGGCACCCACCACTCCTTGGGCACCCACCACTCCTTGGGCACCCACCACTCCTTGGGCACCCACCACTCCTTGGGCACCCACCACTCCTTGGGCACCCACCACTCCTTGGGCACCCACCACTCCTTGGGCACCCACCACTCCTTGGGCACCCACCACTCCTTGGGCACCCACCACTCCTTGGGCACCCACCACTCTTTGGGCACCCACCACCCTTGGGTGCCTGTCGCCCTTTGGGCACCTATTGGCCTTTGGCACCTGTCACCCTTGGGTGCCCACCGCACTTTGGATGCCCACCACCCTTTGGGCACCCGTCATCCTTGGGTACCCACCACCCCTTGGGTGCCCACCACGCTTTGGGCACCTACCACCCTTTTCGTGTCTGTCCCCCTTTGGGTGCCTGTCGCCCTTTGGGCACCCATCATCCTTGGGTACCATCGCCCTTTGGGTGCCTGTTGGCCTTTGGCACCTGTCACCCACCCTGGGGACACTGGGACCATCTTGGGGACACCTGGACCCCCCTGGGGATGCCAACACTGTCACGGGGGGTTCCCACCACCCTGGGGACAACCTGGGCACCCTGGGGACACTGGGACCATCTTGGGGACACCTGGACCACCCTGGGGACGCCGGGACTGTCACGGGGGTGTCCCCACTGCCCTGGGGACAACCTGGTCAACCTGGGGACCCTGGGACCATCTTGGGGACACCTGGACCCCCCTGGGGATGCCAACACTGTCACGGGGGGTTCCCACTGCCCTGGGGACAACCTGGGCACCCTGGGGACACCAGGACGGTCATGGGGGTGTCCCCACCGCCCTGGGGACAACCTGGGCAGCCTGGGGACACCAGGACGGTCACAGAGGGGACCCCATTGCCCTGGGGACAACCTGGGCACCCTGGGGACGACCTGGGCACCCTGGGGACATGGGGACGGTCACAAGGGGGACCCCATTGCCCTGGGGACAACCTGGGCACCCTGGGGACACCGGGACGGTCACAGGGGTGTCTCCACTGCCCTGGGGACAACCTGGGCACCCTGGGGACACCCGGGCTGTCACGGGGGGGACCCCATTGCCCTGGGGACATCCTGGTCACCCTGGGGACACTGACACTGTCACGGGGGGGTCCCCACTGCCCTGGGGACAACCTGGGCACCCTGGGGACACCGGGACACTCACGGGGGCGCCGCCACCCCCCTGGGGCGAACG